TAATTACAAAAAATGTTGGTTTGCTGAAACATTTAATATAATTTTAGTTCAATTTTTAAATTGACTGAACTCAATATCATGGGCATGTTTGCATTGTAAATCTAGTTTGGCTAACTATAGAGTTAATGGATGTATTGCAATTGAACATTTCAAATACTTTTTCGAATAATATGAGCAATCAAAGTTGGTTATACAAGAATATTGTACAAAGAAGCAAATTTATGCTGGATCAAAGTGTCCAGTCAACGTGGCAAAATTTACAGATACACTTCATACTGTTAAAGAGTCACAAAGCAAAGCAACCATGTAATTAGGCTCCAATGCAAGCAGTTGTTCCCTGACTCACAATCCACATACTTATTCCAAGTCAGTGATTCAATGGATAGGTTTAGTTCCAATGCCCTACAGGTAGTATTTAGCACATGGGTCAGAGAATGACTGCTCGTATTACTGCTTAGTCACACAGACATCTTGCTTTGTAGCAAAGTCCCTTTAACAGCACATGCATGCTGAGTTCATTTTACCATGATGATTATTTTCTTTGGTCCAATACATTTTACATTTTGATGTTCAGTTGTCAATTCTGTGACATTCACTAAATTTTAGCACCTTTCTAGCAAATAAGGTGATCTAATATAGGACAGTAAAATAAGTCACCTGATATTAAAGAAAACTGTCAACTCTCTCAGTTTAGTTGATTCAGCTCAAGTATGTGAAATCAGCAAGATAGAGAGATAAAGTACAGAAGTGGGAGTTCGAAGAAGTGGTTTGGACACTTTTCTGGCAGTATGGCCCCTTTTAAATGGTCTGTGCCATTACTTGTTACTACTTATAAGTTCACACTCAGATTAGGTTATTTGGATCCTGTTATGCTCTGGGATTTTTACCAAATCTCTATAAGTAATTATGAAGTTTTGTCTGTATTAGCTTGTATTTGTTTGAATTTTGAAATAATAAAATAAAATTGAACCAAAATGGTCTGTGCCCAATTCAAAAAAGCCTCGCAACAGTATTTTTGCCACTTTAAAAATCTCTCCCTATGGCTGTAACATAATAAAACAGAATTACCGCCAGTTCGCAGATAAGGAAACTGGGGGTAATTAAAGCCAACTCTGGGCTAGCATATACCATACCATATATAGCATAGAAGCAAATATGAAATAGATGCTATTGACAAATGCCCTATCTTCCAATTTCATATTTGTCAAAGAGATGGAAAAATGTGATGTCACACTTCAATCCATATTATCTTTAGTTGGTAATTATCAATTAATTAGGGTAAATTCAGCTGAAGTTGGTTAGTGATACTGGTAATTATACCTGTAAGTGTTTTCATATGGCCTCCGTTGAACAATGTTAACTTAGTGTACCTAAACCCAAGAACAAAAAATGGATACATTGTAACATACCAGTACTTAGATGTGGTGGCTGCATCAGTTTTTTTTTCCTCTCCTCATTTCCTTTATATCTAGGGTTGATCTATTTTATGTTTTACAGTGTTGAACTGGGCAGGGCTGGTAACACAATATGAGATAACACTGCAGAGCACATAAGTTACAAGCTCACTGTATTTCTGTTAGGATTACACGTATTAATTTAGAAGAAAGCAAAAGAGGCAAGTTGATTTTTAGGGTTTATATACTCTTTAAGGCCAATGTTACAAAAATACCTTTTTTTACAAATTAAAAATCACAGTGTCTATTGTCTATACCTAGTTTAAGGCCAGGTTCACACTAAAGCGGACAGATGCTGGAGCTCTTTAAGGCTCCAGTAGCTGTCCATTCTCAGCTGTGGTAGGGGGCAGTGTGGTGCACGTTTCAGAGTATCACATAGTTCCCTTTTTTTTTGTTATGTTCCGTACAGCTACAAACTTTATTTAATGCGTACCAAATGTACACTTTATTCATGGCATGGCAGAGCAATGTGATGCGCTGTGCTCTACTGTACAGTGCCATGCAATTCTGTAGGATGCACTTCAATACAATGCAGCATTCTGCATTTTATTGCAGCACACCCTGCAGCACAGCTCTGGACTGTGTTGCAGTGTGAATAGAACACTCAGGAAACAATTGTTTTCTGTGTGTCCATGTGTTGTCCTGCAATTTAACAGTGCGCTAAAATGCAGGTCAACGCAGTAGGAATTGACCCTAAAAAATCCCAAACATTTATTGACATTTGGGTAACTAGCTTGTTTTCAGGTTTTGTTTGTGTTAATTAATTGGATCCTAAGTAATGCCCATAAAACTAACTAGACAGCATGAGCATTTATGATAACCAGTTATGTACAATGTACACGTTTCCCACAAATAACTATGTTTTTTAATTTCCCTGGTAATCACTGACTTCTCCTTTCTGCTGCTTGTCTATGCACATCAGGTTCCACCTTCCTACTACAGTGGTCAAAATCCAAAGTAGCATAAGGCAATTGGTGGCCAAGACATGGGGGGATTTACTAAAGGGAAATAGACAGTTCAATTTGCAAGGGAATTTTCCCTTAGCTTAGTGAATGCAATTTGTTTTCACTTTGCAAAGAATACCCAACCATGTACAAGGAAATTTAAAAAAAAAGAAAGATGGAAAGCTGCACCTCATTCACTAAGCTCTAGGGAAAATTCCACTGCAAACTGCAACTTCCCCTGCAAAGTGAACAGTCTGTTTGACTTTAGTAAATCAACCACACAGTGTCAATCATACCTTGCAACCCTCAAAGAATCTGGGCAAGGTACCTTCTTTGACTCACTTGATATTTACTTTTTAATGGAAGGCCCAATCCATCCTATTAGAATTTGTATAAAGTAATTTTAAAATACTGACTAGCTGCAAATCCTGCCAAAAACATTTTATTCAAAAGGCAACTCCAACAAAACAATTAAACACCTAGAAACCCATACTGTATATAAAAGCAATGTTATTTGGTTGTAAAGTTACAAATAACTTTTTGTAATCCTTTAACCTCTGATTTACTTGATGCCTAGCAAAAAAAAAAAGCATCAGAGCCTAAATTTGACATACTTATTTTAAAACTACCCATCCTAAAGCCAAAGTAGATTCAACATTTCTAGGATAATTTTAAAGCCAATCTCCATGTTTAAATTTAAGTTTTTCATTTAGACCAGTGTTTCTCAACTCCAGTCCTCATGGACCCCCAACAGGTCCTGTTTTCAGGATTTCCATTATTTTGCACAGGTGATTTGATCAGTTTCACTGCCTTAGTAATTACCACAGCTGTTTCATCTGAGGGAAATCCTGAAAACATGACCTGTTGGGGGTCCATGAGGACTGGAGTTGAGAAACACTGATTTAGACCAAGGTGGTCCAAACAGAGTCCAGCAGTTGCAGTGCTCAACTTGATTTCATTCCAGGAGCAGGATGGGAAGTTCTCTTCCCGCTGCCGGACACAGCGCTGAATACTGCATGTAGCTGAGGCTACATACGGTTTATACGGTGCACACAGTAGCTGCAACTGTTGATGTAGTAAATAATTTGGATCAGCTTGGACCAAATTAACAATTTAAAGTTAAATGAAACATGGAGATCAGCTTTAATCACGCATTTATTTTTTTGTCAGTGCTGCTGCCATATGTCTCATCAAAAGCAATGATTTAGTAAAATCTATCCTGGGTGATCAGTTGACTATGCAAAATCTACATATGTTGCAGATCACCCATAGACATAAAATGATTTCTCAGTCCAACCTTTACTGTTTCATATTACAATCATCTCATGTCTATGTGTAGTTTTCCTTATTTAGATTCACTCAGTTGCATATTATTTGAACAGCAATGAAACCTGTGTAAATTAACTCTATCAGTGATTAAAAGGATGAGTTGGTGACCCTTCCTGTGTTACATGTGCATATAACAAGAGTTAGATCTACAAATAATCTTGACTCTTAAGAGCTTCATATGTAGAATTTAGTTATGAATTTAAATATCCACCTTTCCTGCCCCAATTTCCTGTTTCATATGACACAGAAAATGCACCCTTTGTTTCTTATGTTGTCTTAGCAGGAAGACTATAAAATGTAATAATGGAATACTGATATCAGCCATGTCTGTTGAAAATTAATATGAGACCACATTCCCTACAATAGATCATAAAGATCAAGACTATGTCATTTTATATATATGCATTATAGATATCATTTGCATCATGGATATGATGAAAATGACATTTAACTTAATATAACAAATTGTGACAAATTGTTGCCATATAATATACATTTCTATGTATCCCTCCTTAGCACATACAAAAGATAATTTCCTTCAATATAAGTTATCTCAAATACATTATCAAGGACTAGGAAGTTCCTCATTTTCTATAAGGTAATCTTTTTTAAAAAATCTAGTGCCCCTGACCATCCGCCATACTCCAAGATATGCATCTCGTAAGGAACTTCTACTGTCACCATCAGGGGGTCCAGTTGGGCCATGTGATTGCAATACTGAAGCCAATGTGTTGTTCTTTTCTTCAGTATGATTATTTGTTGTCTCGACGGGTTGTTTTTCTTGTGGCTGTTCCTCTGTGCTTTTTTCCTGTAATATCTCTTCCATTGCAAATGGAGGATGCTGTCCATCCTGCTCTTCCTTTTCATCCTTCATAGCATTCTTTTCCAAATCTTCATAATTGATCTGCCGCCTTGTCTCAAAATACTTAGCCACACAGTAGATGATAGATCCAAACGTGTTGACAACCACACCTGCAATGAACAGTGATGTGGGTTCCACATCATTAAATGCAAGCATACCAACGGTAATGGTGGCAATGCTCTTCACCACACCAACAAAACTTGTAGTAACTGCTGAGTTTATATAAGTACAATGCAGTGTGGTAAAATTCATAGCACAACCAATCAGGGTGCATGCAATGAAAGTGCAGACCATGGTTGGGTCTTTCCAACCTGGGAATGACCATGCATTGATCATGTCCATACTGGCAAAAGAACAGATAATGAGCAGAGGTGTTGCTGTTATGGCAATGATATACTGGGCAGTTAGAGGTCCATAATCACTATCTGTACTAGTCTTCTGAATAATTACTAGGTAAGCAGCATGAACTAATACAGCCAGCACTCCGGTTATGTAGCCTACAGGTTCGCCACTCAAGTCACCAGCACCTGTATGGGACACAAGATAATGTTAGATTGAATTGATTAGTATAAAGATGCATGTTTCATAAAAAACAACATACATTTAATACAGAAGAACAACCTACAATGGAATAGCTGTGTTTTATTTGATTGCATGTTACTTATTTAAAGGCAAGTTTGCAATAAACATAGCACTATGACATTTACCCAAAGCTTGAAGTTTATCTTAGTATTTTATTATTTAGCCGTAATAAAATATATACAGTTGTTTCTACATACTATATTATGTATATATACTTTATTCCAATGGGTATGGAGAATACGTGTGACTTTATTCTCATCAAATGACAATAGAGAAATATGCCTGTGCAATGTACATCAACACAGTAGCTTACAGTTTCCTTTAGGAGAGCATGTGACAGGAAGATTTACAGACAGGAGATTGTGAGAGACAGGGGTAGAGCAATATAAATGTGTATGTAGACTGCACTGCCAAAAATGTGACTCAAAGTTACTAAAGAGTTTGCAACACCAGAAAATACGACTAATGACCAATGTATCAGTAAGTCCCTTTCAAATAACTGTTGCTTAAAAACCAAAAGATAGGTGAACAGGTGCTGGTGCCATTAGTAACAGATAAACAGGTGACCATTTCCAGGTGCTCCAGGTGACCCCACATGGATTGACACTCACCACAATGGATGGATCTTCTATTACTATAGGTCTCACTGCGCTTTTTTGGTTGGATCCACTGTGTATTTCATCACCAACTTGACAATTCATATGTACCAGGATGCGATTTCTTCCAATGCAATACACCGTCACGCAAAAAAAAGTATCAGGGAAAAGGTTCATTGCGCAGAGCAGCCAACTTTATTAAATCATATAAAACCTTACAATTACACCACACTCACATGTATATGTGACTAAGGACCGGCACTAGGTACAACTAGGATTGATCGACTACCAGTGCAGCCAGTCAGGGCGAGTCCTGAGTACAGTGAGTATATGTTACTGCAGTGCTTGCCCCCTGCTCCCCCAAGTGCTGACAGCTTGCCGCTTCCCAAAACCCCCTTTCACTGTGCGCTGATCAAGTCCTCTGTTTACAAAACCCCTCCACTACCACCATTTCAACCCACAACAATAACCTCCACCCTCAACAGTAACCCTCCTCCCACCTCTCCCCCCTCCCCCCCCCCCCCCCCTCCCCCCCCCTCCCCCCCCAACAAAACCCTCCCGCCTCTCTGCCCTCAACATCTGCCCCCTCCCAACTCTCCACCCTCAATAATAACCTTCACCTGTCTCTCCACCTTCAACAATAAGCCTCCCCTCCACTGGCTGCCTGGCTTACTCTCTTTCTCCGAGAAAACAGTTCAAACGGGAAAAACAGTTGTCAGCTGACAGCTGTTGGATTCCTGTCATAGCTGTGCCTCTAAGAGTTGGTGCCTTTAAGAGTTAGTCCTTCACCTTCAGGACTGAGCTCAGTGGCTTTTGGTGTTTTGATAACTGAAGCGAGTTCGAGTTCGGCCGGTTTTCAGCAGATGGTCTCTGGGTGTGAATGTGAATCACCCAACAAAATCCGCTACACCAATGATGTGGGAAGTGGGTCCTGTGTAATAACGGGGTTAGAATGGGGAAGGGGTCCTGTGTACTGATGGGGGTAGTATGGGGTGGTCTTGTTTAATGAGGGGGTAGTATGGAGGAGGGTTCCTGTGTAATTATGGGGAAAGGGTCCTGTGTAATGATGGTGGTAGAGGGGAAACCTGTGTAATAATGGGGGGCAGTATGGGGGAGGGGGTCCTGTGTAATGATGGGGGGGAAATTCCATGGGGGGGGCAAGAAAAAGTTTGTCCATAGTCCAATCAATATTAAAGACAGCTCTGCAGGGCTGTCTTTAACACCGGGCATAAGGGGCAGCTGCCCTCAGCCAAGTTATTGTTATGGGGCCCAAAGCAGCTGCCCCTCGAGTCCACACTGCCCACATAGTTGCCAAAATTTTCATTAGGCTGTCCTGTGCTGAGTCACAGAAATAAGAGCTGCAGGTACCGTGGCAGCCCTTTCTGCTCTCTCTTCTGCACCCACACCCTTTGATGAGTTGGGCCAATAGGCTCCAGCAGAGTGAGAGATTTTTGATGGGGAGATGAGACTGGAAGAGGAGGATGTGGGATGGGGAAATGAAACTGGAAGAGGAGGACATGGCATAGAGGATATGGAATAGATAATATGGAGGAAATGTGATGGGGGGGAGGAAGAGGAAGACATGGGATGTAGGAGATGGGACTGGGGGAGGAGGACATGGGATGGAGCAGATGGGAATGGAGGAGGACGTGGGATAAAGGAGATGTGATTGGAGGAGGAAGACATGGAATGGAGGAGATGGGACTGGAGGAGGAGGAAATGGGATGAAGGATATAAGACTGGAGGAGGAGGAGATAGGATGGAGGAGATGGGACTGGAGGAGGATGAGGACATAGTATGGAGGAGATTGGACTGCAGGAGGAGGAGAACGTGGGATGGAGGAGATGGGACTGGAGGAGGAAGAGGACATGGAATGGAGGAGATGGCAATGGAGGAAGAAGAGGACATGGAATGGGGGGATGATATTGGAAAAAGAGGACATAGGACGGGGGGGTGGGACTGGAGGAGGAGAAGGAGAACATGGGATGGAGAAGGAGGAGGACATGGGAGGGAGGAGATGAAACTGGAGGAGGTGGACGTGGGGTGGAGGAGATGGAATTCAAAAAGGAGGAAATGGGACTGGAGGAGGGACAAGAGGAGGAAGAGGACATGGGATGGAGGATACATTAAGTTGTAAAAGTATTAAAAAAAGTGGGTGCACTGAAGGACTAGGTGGGATAGCCAGTTGGGCAGATTCTGTGGGAAGGCCAATGGGTGAGGCTTGAGGAATGTCTCATTTTCTACTCAATTGTAGGGAATGCATAAAGGTACAAAAAAAACTGGACAGCCTTATAGAAAATATAAAGATAAAAAATAAAAAAAAAATTAAACATAAAAAATTGTAAAAAGTACATCTGTTAATAATGTTAAAAATAAAATAATGATGGTGGATGGGAAAATGACTGGGTCTGGAGCAGTGTTTGTCTCAGCACTAATTAAGATCATATTTCTGCCCTTTCTATCTTCAGAAAACATTGGCATCTTACTTCATGATTAAGACCATTGGAAAAATATCATATTCCACCCATTAAATACATTTTTCTCTGGAGCCTCTGCAAGGCAAGTGTCCAAGCTGGTGCCCCTATCTTGCAGGAAAACATTTTTATTTATGCATAGGGACAAGGTGGTGTTGAAGCCTAGGACTTCCTTCTTGCCTAAGGTAGCACCCCTTGGTTTGCATTGCATGTGTTTGCTTGACCAGGGCAGGGACAGCTTTACAAGAAAAACTAATTTGTAAATACTGTGAAAAAACTACTACTTCCAAGTGCCTCTCATTCTAGGTCTGCCTGACCTTTTGTTTTAATAAAGGGCATTGCCTAAATTTCATGCCAGTTATAGCAATAGACGGGATAAATATTTGATGCTTTGGTACACACTACTTTGCCACACAAGTGATGAACTGTAAACAAGGGTTATTTCTATGGAAAACAGTGCCTATGACAAGCACTGAAATTGTGCCCATGTCCAAACATCTGTCACCCTTTTCTTAGATAACCTTACAATAATATTAATTTGAAAAAGTACAAGCCAAACGCATTCATCTTTTAATTACTAAGATATCCATAACAGAGAGTGATTAATCCACTAACCCACAGTCCTGTAAGTACAGTGAAATCTACTGTTGCACTGTGTGGCAGTGCAGTCGCTCCAGACTCCGCCAGTGCAGTCGCACCAGTTGCCTTAACAATACTCACGCTGTGTTTTGTGAGCATCACAGTGTTGCTTTCTCCTGTCACTGCAGTCTCCATGAGTAGTTGAACTTTCACATCAGAGTCCCCCTTTCACATCAGGAGCCTTGGGGCACATATAATTGATTGCTGGAGTAAAACAAGCCCAAATTGGACCAGCAATAATAAACCCCAGGAAGTGTAAGGGTCAGCAGTAACCTCCAGAAAGTATAAGGGCCAGCAATGATAACCCCCAGTACATGTCAAGGCCAGCCATAACATCCAGCACAGCATAATAACTAACCCCCTGGCACTGAACAAAAATAAACCCCCAGCACAGCACAATAATGAACCACAAACATGGCACAATAATGACCCACAAAACATGGCACAATAATGAACCGCCGCAAACAAGGCACATGAATGAACCGCAAATAAGGCACAGTAATAAACCGCAAACAAGGCACAATAATGAACCACAAACAAGGCACAATAATGAACCGCAAGCATTGGAACAATAATGAACCACAAGCATTGCACAATAGTGAACCACAAGCATAGCACAATAATAAACCTCCAATATTTCCCAATAATTAACCCCTTAGCATGGCACAACAATTAAATCCCAGCATGGCATAATAATGAACCCCAGCACAGCACAGTGTTATCCCCCCAGGATTTGCATTATAACTACCTGAATAATTAACCCCCAACATTGTACAATATTAACCTCTAGGATTACAGCAGTCAGTGTGCCACCTTCATTGCGAAACATAGAACACAGCATATAGTGTAAAGGGGTCAGCACTATGTGTGGGGGTCAGGACTGAGTAAAACAATACTTTGTCAATGTGCCCCCTCTACAATGGTGGTCAGTATGCCCTCTGTACAATGCATACAGTGTGTGTGTGTGGGGGGGGGGGGGGGGGGGCAGTGAGCAGCATACAGTGAGGGGACAGTGGGCAGCATACAGTGGAAAGACAGTGAGCAGTATACAGTGGGGGGCAGTGAGCAGTACACAGTGCAGAGCAGAAGTGACCATTTAGAGTGCCCAGATTAGAAGTGACCCCTTAGAGTGCCAAGATTAGGAGTGACCCCTCTGATAAATGCCCATGTAGACAAGGCTTCCCCTTTAGCGTGCCAAGATTAGTAGTGCCCCATTAGAGTACCCATAGCGAGAGT